CAGTAATTATTTCTGATATTGTTTCTGGTCTCTGATTTCTCAAACTTCATAAAAAAAAGATTCAGTGAAATAATCCCGCGATATAACGAAATACTCACCTAGTGTATGGATTAAACTTATTGTCAAATTAGATAATTACCAATCCGTCAAAATCAGTTTAGTTGCTAATGTATTGTCAAAGAGAAAAATGCTTTAGAAGTAACCTCAGTCCAAAGAAGAGCACCGCCTCCTGTTTAAATTAAGTAGGAAGCTGTTAGTATGGAAATTTTATTCGCTGACACTGGAATGAAATGATAAATAGTTCTAAACTGCGGGGTTCCCTTTGTTAATTCCAAAGTTTTTCTTTAATCTCTTCACTTTTTGATGGTAAACTTTTGCATAATTTACTTTAATTCGAAAAAACTTTAAAAAGGTAATATATATTACTTGCAAATAATATGGAATCTACTCTTCTCGGGCACATGATGCAAATTTTACTGAAGGACACAAAGAAAAAGTGTAAAGAAACTACACATTTTGATTTACAAGTGAATCGAACTTTGATCTCTTTTGCAACGGTAGAGTTTCCGGGTTCTCTTCCTTAATCTTACTGAATGCATTGACTAATAAAACCTGATCACCTGTCTAAGAACTGTCATTTTTAACGCGAACATTGATTCTTTTCTGCAGTAGCTTATCATATTCCACACACCGTTTCTCTTCCTTAAGTGTGAAAATTTCAACCCGAGATAAATATCGTATCGCTTATAAAAAATTTCATTGCATTGCAAATTTTGTTGCCATAGATCGATACTTTAAGGTAACGCACAAGATAACTTGTTTTTTTCATTTGCTAGCTCGGGCATTATTGACAGCCACTTAAACTGAACTTCATCCTTTTGGCCTTTTGTAGCATTAAAAGTCTATTACACAAAATATCCCAAAGTAATTACTCTGATTTTAATATGCAATGATATTTTACAAATGAAATTTGCTAAAGAATCCTTATCTCCAGCAAGCATCAGTAGTAATAAAGTTTCTGTATTGATATTTTCTGTACTGTTTTTTGCACTAGGAGTGCTGTCGCTGAATTTCATTCAAAATGGCTTGAAAGCAGCAAAAGATTCCTGGCTGGATAGTGTGTCTTTCAGAAATAAATTCTTGATGAATATGCATTGAATGCGTTCTGAATATGCATTGAATGCGTTATGAATATGCATTGAATGCGTTATGAATATGCATTGAATGCGTTATGAAAAGAAAACAACCTGTATAAAGCTGCTTAAAATATGTTTGGCAAACATTTTAGACGCAAGAAAGCTACGGATAAATGCAGCGGCAGACACATCAACTTTTCAAAAAGCTTAATGAGAGAGTTCAAAGAGTTTATATTTAAGTTTTTCTGTTTAAAGTTTACCTGTTTATGTACAACTTTGCGTTTGATTGCAGTTATCCATTAGAGAGCTATAACATATTAGGACTATAATAACATTTATGAATATCCTGTACTTTTCGCACTACTCTATAATATTTGTTACTTTTATATAAACAGTAGATGAAAAAATTAATAAATGAAATAAAAGTCTTAAAATTTGCTTTGCGTTGTAGTTTGAATGTATTACGTAAAAGATAAGCATATTTAACACTTCGCAGAAATCCAACTTTTAAAAACTAGAACTCTTCTCAGATAAGGCGAATTATCTCTACTCAGATAATTACACCTAAATACTATGTCAAATGAATAGACAGACTGTGATCAAAAATAAGCGTATTTAATCAACTGTGGTTCACAAAATGAAAAGAGACATGGGTACTTACCGTTGTTATGAGCAAAGATAACCCATTTCTACGAGCAAAGAGTTGAAGGGTTTTTAGCTACTAACAGACAGTGTATTCCTAATTACTTTATGAACTAAAATGTCATATATATAAGTATTTATGAACTATTTTTAACAATTTTTTAGAAAAGATTATCCTATCCCAGGAAAAAATGCATAAGGAATTAAAAGTGCTACTAGGAAAAGGGATTGAGAATGCGTATTAAAACTGGAAAAATGTTTGGCAACTCCTTCGCTCACTCTCTTTGCTTAGTAACACTTCTAACTCCCTGTGCAATGTTTTCCAAGGATAGAGTAATGTTTTCAAAAAAGTGTTAAAAGTAGTTCATAATGACTTGAAATCCAATCCTTTCAGCTCAAGTGCAGGATTTTTTTTAATTTTTTTATTTTATCTAGTTTGTAAATCCTCTGTTAAATATTTAGTTTATCTTCTAATAACCAAAATTGGAAACCTTTCAGCAGGCAACAAAACGAATAGCGTTATAAGTAATGAATAAAAGAACTTCATATTATCTTTTTTTTTTTTTTTGAAAAATTTAACCTAAAATGGAAGTATCAATTTAAATAAATTCTCAAAACAAATTTCATTACAAAATTTATATACATATCTCTTTATTCCCTTGCAAAAAGACCTATTTTTATAAAGAATTGAATCTATTAATTTGTTAATTAAGCTTAATTCTATAATGTTACCTTCCTTTAATTTTATTCCATTAATAAATATCATAAGATCGAAAGTGTGTTCATAAAATGATAGAAATATTGCTCATGCATATATATATAATGCGAAGGCTAATATATTATTAAAGAATGAAATAGTTTTCCCTTCTTTAAATTATTTTGTTGCAAGTAGTATGCTATGAACGACGTGACATATGTTTTGGAAATTTAGTACTTTAAATTAATTTTTTTATATCTTTTATTCTTTTATCCAACAAAAAGTTTCCAGGAATGTAAATAACACAGTAATGTTTCACAAATCTTCATGTCTGAAGAAAGAATCGCAGGTTGGGAAACGGCCACACCCATTTTGTATAACCGTTTTTCTTTGCAAATTCCGTACTCATGAAAAGTGCTACCAATTTATGCGAAGGGGCATAACTGAAAGAATCTTCCTCGAAGCGTATACTCCTCTTCAGGAATTTTTAGCGTATGAATTAGTCAGCTCCGCCATTCTAGAATATTGAAAAGAAGATCATGAATTACGAAAATAAATGAATAAAAATTAAATAAATAAATAAATAAATGAAATATGGGAAACAGCAATAGTCGCTAGGAAAAGAAATCGTGATTTCTGCTGTTAATAAATAAGATGGCAATGGCTAGTAGGCGTTTCTTACTAGGAACCTTCAACTATATTTTTTCCGTTTCGTCAGTTCAAAGGCTTTGAATACAAGCAATGGGCTCAGCCCGAAATTGCAGATTTCATTTCCACTCCAAATTTCATGGCATAAACTCTTGTTGGAGAGCAGAGTGTTCTAGTTTCACACACGTCCGACCTGAAGTGAAACTGAACTTATTTCAGGCGTTTCTACATCCACCCTGAATGAATTAAATAGTAAAATATCCAAAATAAAAATAATACTGGTTAATTTAATATTCTGTTAAGATAAAATATAATGGTTTCTTTTCAATAGCGCCATCAAAAGGATTTAGGCATTTTTGTTTTCTTAGAGTTTTCAACGCTTTACATATTTTAATTTTAACTATATCTAAAGCTAATTAAAAAATGCAGGTGCTTCAAATTTTCTGAACGAATGAAATTGTACGATACACTTGTAATTATAAGGTATTTCTCCCACCTTCTTAGCATGCCTTCGTGGTGTAGTGGTCAGCACACTAGGCGTGTAATCGAGAGGTCCAAGGTTCGAGTCCCGCCGAAGGCATTGCTTATTTTTCAACTCTCCTGCTTTCAAAAAACACCTTATGCTGTACAGTGGCGCCAGAACTAAAAAAGGTGGTGAACTAAAAAAGGTTATTCTTCACCACCAGGATTTGGCGACTGAGTCCCCGAATCCCAAGTCGCCCTTTAAAAAGGGGAGTATATAAGGTATTTCTCTCACCTTCTTAACATGCCTTCGTGGTGTAATGGTGAGCACGCTCAGCGAGTATTCGTGGTTTGAGTCCCGGCGCCAGCAGTGCACATTTTTGTCTTCTGTTTCGAAATAACTTAATGTCTCTACAATACGGGATAACTGAGAATATTATTGAAACCAATAATGGCATTGTTATATATGAAAAGAATGTGAGTGGTCATTTACAAAAGCACTCAAAGATGTTGATTTTACAAATTTATGTTTACTTTAATATTTTTATTATTTTCCTTCTTGTTACCTGTGGAAACAACTAATTTAACTTTTTTATTTTAACAACTTATTTAAAACAACTTTTTTGTTTCATTATGTGTCTTATTTGAGGTAGACCTCACACTTATGAAATCCTAAATTCTTTCAGATAAGTTTCTCTTTCAATCTACTAACTCACAATCGTTATATTTCAAACATATTCCAATATAAAAGAAATCAAAGGTACTAACGGTTTGCTATTTTTGAATTTAAAACCAAAAATAAAGATCTTAACAGAGGTTTTTTTTAATTAAAAATTAAGCCTTCGCTTAATTTTTTTTTTACGCCCATGTATACTGATAAATGGATTTTATGAATTTCACAGCAAGTAATTAAATATTTGCAAAAATAAATAATGTAATAAATACTTTCAGTATAAATCCTCACTCCTTTCTCTAATTTGCAAAATGATTACGATGCGAGATAACACTGATTATTTTGCTTCTGCGCTCTTAAATTTAGAATAGCGATAAGCTCTCACTTAATATTTGCAGGCTATTATTATAACTGAGATACAGTTTCAGCCTAAAACTGCGTGTGATTTATTCTCATCTATGGGTATCATAAACATAATTCAAAAAGATTGATGTGAATTACTTTCGGTTATACAGTTTCCTGTGTTTATCACGTTTCATTTTAGTCAACAAGATAAAGATTTTTTTATCATGTTTTTGTCCATTATTTGAATCTAAATTTATGTGCATATACAGTGTGTTGATTGATGCAATATTATGCCTCATGAATATGTTATGAGCATTTAACTGCCAAAAGCTATTCGAGATAACTCTTTCTAGGCACATCAGCAGTACTTATTAAATTCAATGTCTTTGCATTCTAGGGTGCTGAACGTAAAACGAGGGATGAAGAGCGTAGAGCTGCCAAAAGGAAATTAACCGCTGCCAGTAAGTAAAGGAATTTATTTCTGTGTAATTTTTCCCCTTAATGATTAAGTACATCCCTTTGTTTTCTTTTGAACACGTATATTTATCTACATTGTTTATCACGAAATTTAATGTTCTTTTTACTGCGAAAAGAAATCAAGAAAGGTATTATTATCAAACCTTCTATTTAATGTGTCACAACTGTACTCAGTTCTTCAGTGATATAGTTCAAAAAACCCATATATTTTTTAACTATAATTGAGATACAGTTTCAGTGTAAAAATTCCTGTGATTTATTCTCCTCTATGGGTATCATAAATATAATTCAAAAAGACTGATGTGAATTATTTTCGGTTATACAGTTTCCTGTATTTATCACATTTCATTTTTAGTCAATAAGCTAAATTATTTTTAGTCAACAAGCTACCTCCCGTTCTGAAATAAATTCATGAGTTTAGCAAGCTGAATTTCGGCCCTTTACTTCGTATTCAGTAAGGTGAATGCAGCCCTGAAAACGATAGTTTATATCAATTTCCGAAGATAATTTACAAATTTATAATAAATGTTTTATTTCAGTAAACACAGATTATTTATCATATTTTACATTTTACTCATTTTACGTAATATTAAAATACTTTGTTTCTAAATTTTTTAAAAATGTTTCTCAGAATTATTTAAAACTGTTTCTCAGAATTATTTAAAACTGTTTCTCAGACTTATTTAAAACTGTTTCTCAGACTTATTTAAAACCGTTTCTCAGACTTATTTAAAACGGTTATGAATTCAAAAGCAAAATTTTCGGTGACCGACTGCAAAATATTTTGATAATGTCCTGTAAATTTTATGTTTAATTTAATCATTAATTTAAAGAAACATGATGTATATTTACCTTGAATTTTTACGAAAATTTTAAATATTTAAGTCTTAATATAATTGCTTGGTACAATCAAACGTAGGCATTTCCTAAAGTGACTTTTAGCCAAAATTTCAAAAGGTACTTATGTCGGTCTTGTTACTACATTGCATGTGCAAACAGTTCTGATCAATAATGTTGCCACTTCTAAGATAGGTGGCTTTCGTTAAGAATTGTTTTTGATATATTTAATTTCTTTTACAGTTTGCGATAAGTCGGTTTCATACTTAGGCCATTTTTCAAACCATATGCTAACAAATTTAGTCTTCGATGAAACAAAACAATCAAATCTAAAGTTTAAATATTTGGATTGTATGTAGGCTGAGATCATAATGAAATCATTTATTCAATTAAATACCCTGTAGGTGGCTGATCAACGTTGGATCTCACATTGTCATATAACAATCTAGGTTGCTTAAACGCACTCAACCATTCAATTCAGCAAATCAACTTCCAGAAGAATCAACGTTTGGTGGATCTTTTGTCTAATAACTTAAAGAAAGCATTTCTATAAATATGCGAAGGCAAATATAACCGTTCTTCTAGGCACATATATATTTTGACCTGCTATGTTTCGTAGCGGTTTTATCTGATACAAGTAAATTCCTGATTCACTCCTACTAGATTGCATGTGTAGTGAGAGTCATACTTCATCGAAAAATGTCTTATTAAGATACTAAGTTTAATTTATATTCCATATATTCAAATACTAAGTTTAATTTATATTCCATATATTCAAATACTAAGTTTAATTTATATTCCACATATTCATATATTTTGCAGCTGATCAGGAGTTAATTCATGAAATATTTAATTTTTGAGAACTTTATTCATCTTTAAATCATTTAGTATGAGCCAATAATTTAAACCAAGATGAAGGATTGATTTCTGAAAATCCGAATGCTCTGAAAGCGACTTTTTACTCCAAAGTCATGATTCATCCTTTAAGACTCTTCCATTTCATTCTAATCATTTTGTAATTAATGGTATATTTAATTATGGCAAATCACACGAGGGCTATCTGCCTAAGAGGAGGCATGCCTTCGTGGAGGACTTTCTAAGGGAAACTGGCTCGTATACACGTTACACATTGGGAAACCACGAAAACGCCCATGCAGCCAGCCCGTTCGCGGGTTCGAACCTCGGACCGAACTACCAGTGTTCAGCGACTTTACCGCTCGGCCGCTTGTGGGCTCTCATTCTAATCATGATTCTACTATTTGTTTCATTTGACTTGTCGTATCTTTCTTTTTTAATTAATTTTATCTAATTTCGATTGCTGGGATTTTGTAAGTTCGATAACCTAATCTTTTATTTGATTAAGTTTCGAATATGTCTGTACCGCTATCTAATAACAGTGCAAAATTCTAAAAAATATATTATTAAAGACACTATCTGAAAGAATTAAATTTTTGAATTTTATTTTGAATCCATTGTTCAAAATAAAATTTATTAAAATGAAATTTTAATAAATTTTATGTTGAACTCTTTTATTTATTAAAATGAAACTTACACTTTTTATTACTCACTCGCAAAATACTGAGCATTGGTATTAAACGTTGGCAAGATAAAATAAAAACTTAGCAGATTTTATTGACCACCCTTACAACAAGTAATAAATTTAACGTTGAAATTTTTTATCAACGTAAGTAAAGTTAACTTTTGTCTTTCATAAATTGTCTAATTAACACTTTAAGAAAATCGGGTAAAGTGGATAAACTAAGTGCATGCTCACAAAATTTAAGTTAGCATTATAAGGTATTTCTCCCACTTCCCTAGCGTGCCTTCGTGGTGTAACGGTAGCACGCTGGGCCGGTATTCCAGAGGTCCGTGGTTCGATTCCCGGCGAAGGCGGTTGCATATTTTTCATCTTTTCTGTTTCCAAGTAACCTAATGACTCTACAGCAGTAAACCTAAAAACGCCCTTCTAATTTCTGTTTTTTATACTCAACTATGTTAACTTTGAACTCAACCTTTATTGCTAGTTGATAGTTGCATTATATACGGCGGTTTTCGGTCAATTTGTCAAACATTTAAGATAGTTTCTTTTGCTCTCAGCCAGACTACAATCTTTCATTTTTGATCAGACAGCTATCGTTAAACCATTATTTTTTACAGAAGTTCTGGAGAATGGGCATTTTGCTACTATTATATATTGCAATTTTAAAATATCAAGGACTCGCAAAGTAATATGTGACTTAGAAACCTAGAAGCAAGTAACATTAAGAAATGCTATTTTGTAGGACGCCAGTGATCGAGTGAATATGATAGCTGACCACCGGGGGGGGGTTCAGTCTGGCTTTGTCCACCAGCGGCGGAGTGGTAGAATCGCGAAACACTAAGAATTCGTCCTGGGTTTCAAATCCTAGCGTAGGGTTGGCTCGCGTGAGATTTTTCGTTTTTTTCTCCGTGTGTAACATGAATACGAGCCGATGTGCCTTAAAATATCTTCCACAAGGCAACCCTTCCCTTAGGCAGATAGCCGTCATGTGCTTTGCCTAAATCCACTCTGGGTTTATGTCCTGGTGAATGGGGTGAGTGTACGGGGGTTTTTGTGACTTTTTCGTGTACAACGTGAATGCAAACAAGTTCCTTAGAAAGTCATTTATGAAGCCAACATTGACTTAATACTATACTTTTCTTTGGCTCGGCGATAAACAATTAAACAGCATCAAATCTTTGTGTTAATCTTTTGCCTCGAAAGCTATTACTTACTATACGTAATTTAGAAAACAAATTTATATTATTTCATTGGTATTGGTAGTGAATAAGGTACTTTTAGCATAACAAAATTGCAAAAGCAGATTCAGAAATTGCAATCATATGGAAGCCAAGCCATCGCACACAGGCTGCAGAGACATTAGATATTTTTGGAAACAGGAAAGATGAAAAATTAGCAACCGCCTTCGCCGGGAATTGAACCACGGACCTCTGGAATACCGTCCCAGCGTGCAGAACCTCTACACCACGAAGGCATGCTAGGAAAGCGAGAGACATACCTTATATACTCCCCCTTTTAAAGGGCTACTGGGGTTTTAGGGGACCCAATCGCCAAATCCTGGGTGTGGAGAGTCATCATCCACAGCTCTTTTAGTTCTTGCGCCACTTGTCATTAGGTTAATTGGAAGCAGGAAAGATGAAAAATATGCAATTGCCTTCGCCGGGAATCGAGCCACGGACTTCTGAAATACCGGCTCAGTTTGCTGACCACTACATCACGAAGGCACGCTAGGAAAGTGGGAGAAATACCTTATAAGGCAAACATTCCAGGTTTCATAAGAAATGATATATGCCTTTTCATTATTTGTTTTCTTAGTCAGTTTGTCAGGATTCAGTACTGTTTTTAACGTAAGAAAAGCTGTTTCTTTCAAATTAACTGCTGGACTGATGCAATTAGAATAAGAAAATAGGCATTAATTATTCGTAGCATGTTGAAGCTGAAACGAAATTGCAAGTTAAGAATCAGAATTAACTCTTAATGATAAGGATAGAGCAAGAATAGTAATATGCATTAAATTAAAGCATTCTGCAACTCAAAAAATTCTTACTGTGACTAGCTTGTAAGAGCAGTAGTTATTCTATGTTAAAATAATAATAATAATAAAATGTATTAGTACACAGAAATCATATTCTAATCAGGAGGAATTTACTAATTTGCTCTCAGTTGTTTCTCAGTACAAAAGCATTATAAAACTAAGAGGTTAAATTATCGCTTAGTTGTAATCTCACGCGAAATAAAAGGTTTAGTCACTTCACTACAACCTCACTTGGAATTATTATACATTTCTCCAAAAGAATGACTCTAAAGCGCATTAGTCTGTGGATTGCTGTAAAGTATTACTAGTGAGCGTTACTGCGTTACTGCTCATAATCGCAGTTCCTGTACTTAGAACAATCAAGAAATCGGTTCTATAGTTTTAAATATTTGAAGCAAATTTCATTTATACACGTATAATGCTCCGTTTTCAATTAAGAAATACATTCGTTTCCCCTAAGAAAGTAGTATTACTTCCCTAGTGAGAAAGTATAGGGTGAATTTAAATAAAACATTAATTTTGTTAAATAATAATAACCTTAAAATACTAACACACAGTCAATCAAGCAGCAC